TATTATAAATTTATCCATCTGTCGTCTTCACAATTACCGCCTTTCTAATTAGGTTTCTGATCTTGTATCCTGCCAAACTAAGCGTCACAATTGAAGGAAAAATAAAATCTTTTAAGAACAAGCAAGTACTCAGAGATTTTATTACCACCAGCCTGCTTTACAAGAACTTCTAAAAGAAGGATTATACATAGAAAGAAACAACCAGTATGAGCCTTTCTAAAAATATACCAAAAAGTAAAGAGCATCAACATAAAGAAGAATTTACATCAACGAATGGATAAAATAGCCAGTTAACATCAAATGGCAGTAACCCTAAATTTAAATTGACTAAATCCCCCAATCAAAAGATACAGCCAAAACCTAATGGTATATCCAAAGATACACAAAGACTCAAAACAAAGAGTTGGAGAAAAATTTACCAACCAAATGGAGAGCAAAAATAAATAAATAAACAAAAAGCAGGAGTTGCAACTCTCACATTTGATAAAATAGCTTTCAAAGCAACAAAGATACATTGGTAAAAGGATCAATGCAACAATAAGAGATCTTAATACCCAGATACATAAGACCCATAATGAGATTTAGACTCAATGAGACAGAAAATTAATAAGGATATCCAGGACTTCAACTCAGATCTGGAACAAGTAAACTCAATAAATATTTATAGAGTTCTCCATTTTAAATACACAAAATATTGATCGGCCATTATTAATACCCATTTTTAGAATGAAGCAGTATTCCTGTTCTCTCTCCCTCTTTTTCTTCCTCTTTCTTCCTCTCCTTCTCTCCTTTTTTTACTTTTCAACATCCTAGTTCCTCACCTCTACTCAATACATTCCTCTGAACACCTGATTCCTTGTGATTCTCCCATCCCACTAAAACCTCCAATCCATTAAAAAAAAAAAGAAAGAAAATAATGTTGGCTGGGCATAGTGGTTCATGCCTATAATCTCAGCACTTTAGGAGGTGGAGGTGGAGGTGGATACAGCAGAATCTCCTGAGCTCAGATATCTGAAACCAGTCTGGGCAAGAGAGGGAAATCTTATCTCTATTAATAAAGAAAGCTTAACTGAGTGTGGTGGTGCTCCTGTAGTCCCAGCTACTTAGGAGGCCGAAGTGATAGAATTACTTGAACCTGGGATACCAAAGCTGCAGTAAGCCATGATCATGGCACTGCACTCCAGGCTGAGAAACAGAAAGAGACCTTGTCTTTTTTAAAACATAATTTCATTTTCATATCATAAAATAAAGTAAAATATCTAGGAATGAAATTAACCAATGAAGTAGAGGCTTATATACTGAAAACTATAAAACACTAATATAAAAATTAAAGCTAGAAAGTCATCTCATGTTTATAGATTGGAAGAACTAATATTGGTATAATGTCCATACTACCCAATGTGATCTACAGATTGAATTCAGTGCCTCTCAAAATCCCAATGGCATTTTTTACAGAAACTGAAATAACAATTCTAAAATTAATACGGAATCACAAAAGATTCTGAATAGTTAAGGTAATCTTAAACAAGATAAATAAAACTAGAGACATCATACTTCTTGATTTCAATATGATATAAAATTTAAAAGATATTTCAAAGCTACAGTCATCAAAACAAAATGGTATTGGTAGAAAAACAGACATATAAACCAATAAGCAGAATAGAAAACTCAGAAACACACACACATACACATTTAAAGTTATAACGTTAAAATAAAGTCATACCCTTATCTCACACCATACACAAAAATCAACTCAAATATGTAAAACTCTATATGTAAAACCCAAAACCATAAAATTTATAGAAGAAAACATAGTGAAAAATCTTCTTGTCATTGTTCTCGGCAACAATTTCTTGAATATAATACTAAAAGCAAGGGCAACTAAAATAAAACTAGACAATTGTGACTATACTAAACTTAAAGCTTCCGCATGGGAAAGGACACCACCGACAAAATGAAAAGGCAATCTGTGACATATAAGAAGTATTTGCAAACCATATATCTGATTAAGGGTTAATATCAAAAATAGAAAACTCCTAAACTAAATAATGAATTATAATAATAACCCTATAAAAAAATAGGGAAGAGACCTGAATAAGCATTACTGCAAAAGAGTAATGTCACAGATATATATGAAAAAGTGCTCAACGTCACTCATCATCAGAGAAATGCAAATTAAAGCCACGATGACATATCACCTCATACCAGTTAGCATGGCTATTATAAAATAAATACATAAATTCATAAATATTGGTGAGAATGTGGAGAAAAGGGAACCCTCATATACTGTTGGTGGAAATGTAAACTGGTATAGCCTCTATGGAAAGTAGTATAAAAGTTGCTCAAAAAATGAAAAATAAAACTACCGTATGATTTGGCAATCCTACTTCTGAGTATATATTCAAAAGTATTAAACTCGAGATCCTAAAGAGATGTTTGCAACCCCATGTTCATTGCAGCATTATTCATAATAACCAAGACATGGAAGTAACCTAAATTTCCATCAGTGAATGAATGGATAAAGAAAATGTGATATGTATCTATATACACAATAGAATATTATTCAGCCTTAAAAATAAAAGGAAATCCTGTCATTTGCCAGAACGTAGATGAACTTGGAGGACAATATACTAAATGAAATGAACCAGACATAGGAGGACAAATACTACGTGATGCCACTCAGATGAGGAATTTTCAATAGTTAAACTCAAAAGAGGCAAATAGTAGAATGGTGGTAGCTAAGGGCTGGGGTAAGGGGAGGTAACAAATGGGAGGTATTACTCAAAGAGTTCAAAACTTCAGTTGCAGAGATGACTAAGTCCTAGAAATCTAATGTACAGTATAGTGCCTATAGTCAATAATACTGTAGTTTATAATTAAAAATTTGCATAGTATTCCATGGTATGTGTGTGCCACATTTTTCCTTATCCAGTCCATCCTTGATGGGTGTTTGGGTTGCTAAAAAAGGATGAATTCATGTCCTTTGCAGGGACATGGATGAATCTGGAAACCATCATTCTCAGCAAACTGACACAAGAACAGAAAACCAAACACCGCATGTTCTCACTCATAAGTGGGTGTTGAACAATGAGAACACATGAACACAGGGAGGGGAACATCACACACTGGGGTCTGTTGGGGGTGGGGGCTAGAGGACCAATAGCAGGGAGTGGGGAGATTGGGCAGGGATAACATTAGGAGAAATCCCTAATGTAGATGACAGGGTAATGGAGGCAGCAAACCATGGCGTGTATACCTATGTAACAATCCTGCATCAACTACACATGTACCCCAGAACTTAAAAAAATTGCTAAGGAGATAGGTCTTATGTAAGTATTCTTATCACTAATAATAATAATAATATAGAGGGCAGAAGAAAAGTTATTTTTATGGTTTTATATAAAAAGATTATACATTTTAAAAATGTACACTTTAAAAGTTTAAATCAGTACAAAGCTTACACATACCTATATTTTAAAAACTAAAATGTGAAATTATCAATTATTTTTACTGTAGAAATGTAAATCCCAGGGTTTATCTTTTAAAATGAAACCAAAAGTTTATATTACAAGTGTAATGTCACATTAAATTGGAAGCATTGTATATTAATCATCTGCTTACGTATTTAAGCAACAGAAATTTATGTTATAGGTGTAATATTTTTATTTTAAAATTAGATTTAGTAAGTTATTATTTGACTAATTTACCACCATACTTAAAAACTTTGTTATGAAAGAAAAGTTACACATGACACTGGGAACTTTTGACTTTTATTTCCTGATTTTCAATTTGTGGGAAGGGAGGAGAGGGCAGATATTTTGATATAGAGTAAAAAGTGATAAAGTATTTAAGATAATGGGAATAAAGATTGCTACAATATTCAGGATATAAGTAAAAACTGGTAACAGTATTTCACCTCTTTAAAAAATTTGTTTAAATAGGTTTTCTAAAATCCAAATAAACAGTACTCTATTATATTCTTTCAATTAAGTCAATTACTAATTTTTTGAAATTTGGGTTCTCTTAATACAATTCTAGTTTCAACTTGAAAAAGATAAAAGACATAAGAAGAAAATAGGGAAAAAATGAGATGGGAGAGGAGAAAGGCAAATTCAGATATAACACTATGCAGGAAAATTATGAATGCATAAAATTTAGGTTCTTTTGGCCTTTTCCTTCAGACTAACACATTTGATAACGTTCTTATTCTGCCCCCACTATCTCTCAACCCCATTGCAAGAAGACACAATGACAAAAATACTAATAGGCCTGATTCACATCCTTAATGACTGTCTGAAAAAGAGTTTGTCATGATGAAGGATATGAATCATGTTCATAGGAGGACATTTCATATTTATGGTAACTGTCCTGCTTGCAGGAAATGGAAATGTTAATTAGTCTTTTTACTTCATAAAAATAAATGTTTCAGAGTTTGTTTTCGTACTTTCAAATTATTTCCTAATGAATTACACAGACTGTCTATAAATGTGTACTCAAATGCAAAGTTAGTGTAATAGATATGTATCATTGTCATTATAAATTACTGTTCCAAGCTAAATGGGAAAATATCAGTGTCCCTGGAACAATATCAATCTGTCATAATTGAACACATATATAATATTTGTAGTGTGGACCCCTTATTAATTAATGATATACAAATGACTAAAATTCTCCTGGAAAGATATGAAATATGATCTTCAGTAATCACACAATTTAAAATTATACTTTGTCTTTTACCATCTTGAACACGCATGTCTTTCTATTCAATATACTTCATTGTGTGAACACTAGTTGCTTTAGTCATCTTGCTCACTTTTTGCCAGAGGGTGGATGTGAGACACCTTTGTGGTTGTTCTTAATATTTTGGAACTTCATTATTGCTTATTTAAAAAATAGCTTCCTACATGCTCAATAACATATACACTTGAATGGCATCAAATAAAATTAGAATAAGTTAAAAGGAGCACACCAGAGCATACTTATTTTTTGTTTGTTTAAAGGACATCGTATTTGAGGAAACATACAGAAAGAAGAGAAGTCTCTGGAACCTGAACAACAGGATGGAAAGAATCAAAGCTGTACTAAGGTAATCCACTAGTGCTCTCTTAGCAATCTCTGATTTTCCAATATTTAAGCCTGTATTTCTTTTCTTTTGTTCCAATTAAATTTTATTGTGTATATTTAAGGTATACTTATAAGACACAAACAGTAACAAGGGTACTATAGTGAAACAAATTCATATATACATCATCTCATGTAAGTACCCCATGTTTTTTTTGTTTTTGTGGCAAGAGCAGCTAAAATCTACTAATTTAACATGAATCCCAAATACAATAAAATGTGATTCCTTACAGTCCTCATTTTGTACCTTAGATCTCTGGACTTGCTAATTCTACTTTCTGTTCTTTAATTATTGAATTGTGAACCTTGAAGTCTGATTATTTCACTTTATAAAAATTATTTTATAAAATGATCCTTGAGTCAATTCCTCAGCCATGGGAAATATAATAGTAGGTTTTTGGATTGTTTCACTTTGTTGAGGCTAAACTAAGCTGAATAGTAGGAATTGCAGGGTTAAAAGAGCCTCGAACGTTAATCTTAAATAAGCCCCTAGCTCAGATTGCCTTCTCAGGCTGGTGAGCCATCCTGCCTACCCTTCAATAATCAATCTGACAATTTTGAGGACAAGGATGCAGCATCATGGGAGACAACAAAAATACTCAAAACATTCCTAGAGACTTGGAAATGAAACTAATTAGAGTCATATTATAAAGAAATTGAAAGGGGGTAAGAAACAAATGGGTAAATGAAAAGTGTTATTTGCTGCTAGTAAGAATTTACATGACTCTTCTCAGCTGTTCACTACCTCACATTTTAGAATCATTATTAAAAAGTTACTTTCCTCATATCCCGCTATCAACATTGAAAAAAATCAAGAAACTGTGAGGATATGAAATATATCAGATAACACACTTGCAGTTTATTTATTTATAGTAATTATTAGTAGTTTGAGGCAGAGTCTCCCCGTCACCCAGGCTGGAGTGCAGTGGCAAGATCTCTGATAACTGCATTTTCCACCTCCTAGGCTGAATCAATTCTCCTGCCTTAGTCTCCTGAGTAGCTAGTGGCACGAGTCACCACACCTGGCCAATTTTTGTATTTTTAGTAGAGATGGGGTTTTGCCATGTTGACCAGGTTGGTCTCACATCCCTGGGCTCACACAATTGCAATTCAGAAAAGACTGTTCTGCCTTCTAATAAAGTAATACTGAAATAATGCAAAAGTGTTTATTTATTGATAGATACCTTTAGGAAATCATGATAACATTGCTATGTGCCAGGTATGATCATGGCAAGTCAATTAATCTTTTTCTTCTCCATGGATAAACTGAATATTATAATAGGAGCAACCTCATAAATGTGTTATATAAATTAAATGTATGAATGCATGCAATGCCCTTTAAAAAGAACTTGGGAGCAAAGTAAGAACTCAAAAATGATAGAGATTTTTATTATAATTAAACAATATTTGTTAGGAGAAACAAGAGGATTTAAATAAATATAGGACAATAAACACTGGGGACTATAAGTGGGGGAGGTAAGGAGGGAAAGGCTTGAAAAGCTAACTATTGGGTACTATGCTCGCTACCTGGGTAATGGGATTAATCCCACCACAATCCCAGCATCATGCAATATACCCATGTAACAAACCAGCACATGTACCCACTGAATCTAAAATAAAAGTTGAAATTATTAAAAAATGAATAAATAGGCCGGCTATGGTGGCTCACGCCTGTAATCCCAGCACTTTGGGAGGCCAAGGTGGGTGGATCACCTGAGATCAGGAGTTCAAGATCAGCCTGGCCACCATGGCGAAACTCCATCTCTACTAAAAATACAAAAAAATTAGCCAGGCGTGATGGCATCCCTGTAATCCCAGCTACTCAGGAGGCTGAGGCAGGAGAATTGCTTGGACCCAGGTGGTGGAGGTTGCAGTGAGCTGAAATTGTGCCATTGCACTCACGCCTGGGCAACAAGAGCGAAACTCCATCTCAAAAGAGGAAAAAAAGAAAAAGAAAAAAATGAATGAATGAATAACAAACAAATAAGTAAATAAATAAAGGGAAAGCGCTCTGGGCATTCAAAGGAGGAAGAGATTCCTTCTTCCAAATGTCACCAGAATGTCTCCCTCCTTCCTCCCGTTATTATCTCAGAAGTTAGATTACTTGCTAAAGAGCTTGAGTTTATAGTCACCCAGACCCTTAGTTCCTTAGGTCCAGTCCATAAAGAAGCCTTAAGCAAGCTAATTGATCCCTTCAAGAACTGACTTCTTACTGCAACATATATAAAATGTTTGGTACATAATTACTAATTCATGCATATTGATTTCTCATTAAAAGTCTCATTTTAATAGAATATGACATTGATTGAATGCTGTTTTGGGGTATTAGTAGAAAAGAAGGCCTTAAAAATCAGAGAGAATTTGCTCAGATGAAAATAATTCAGTTGAATTTATTAAAAGATAGAGTAAATTGGAGAAAATAATAAGGATTATTCAAAACATATCAGTCATGTTTAGTGATGTAAAAATGTTAGTACTGTATGTATAATCTATGTTAAGAAAAATGTCAAACTTTGGGATCTTGAATGTTTTCAATGATCATTCTGATTTTCATTTTTAAATTATTTCCATATGTATGTATGACCTTTTGTGAAAATGAAAAGAAAATGCTTCTTACTCCCACAGGGATTGGGAATTATGATTATTTTTCTGTTCGTGATCATTAAGAATGGAAATGACTATTTCAGACCAAGAAAAGCAACCAAGTTCATGATGATGACTATATAGTATAGTATTATCTCTATCTATCTATCTATCTATCTATCTATCTATCTATCTCTCTCTCTAGTATATGTATATATATGGCTTAAATATGTATATGGTTTATATATATAATTTATATATCTATATGGTTTATATATATAACTTATATATCTATATGGTTTATATATACATAGTGTGTGTGTGTATATATATATATGAAACCCCCATACACATTGACTTTTAGTAAAATAAAGACTTTCATTAGTGAGAAATTTAAGAGAAGTAAGCTTTTGAAAATTTAACACAGTAAAATGAAAAAAAAACTTGACAACAGAAATGTTCAGGGAAATAATAAAAATATATTACTAAAATATTTATAGTGTAATATAAATACATTATTTTATGTCTTTATATATACATATTTTACATTATATATAAATAATATATTTATGTGTATGATTTTATATATGATTATATATAAAATATTTATATATATATAAATATACATTCATGTTTTATACCATTATATTTCTATATTTATTTCTATGTGCTTATATATTGATTCATGTTTATGTATTTTATATGCTTATTTTATTATTTGTTCTTCCATTACATTTGCTTTTCTTTTTTCTTTTTGTTTTTTGGAAAAAGTGTATTTATTTAGGTAGAGAAAGAGGAATAAAAGGGGAAGAGAGAAAACTTCCACAAAGAGTGTGGAAGGGGACTCCAGAGGGGAAATCAGAGAAGGAAAGCTCCCTTCACACTGAGTGAGAGAATCCAGAAAGATGGAACCCAGAAGAGGAAAGACAGCTTTCACACTGGGTGGAAGAGAACTGAAAGAGAGAGAGATGGCGTTTAGGAGGGGAAGACAGGCTTCCACGAGAGAGTGTTCATGCAAGGGGTCTTTGTTTTTTTTTTAAGTCTCTTTAAACACTCTTAACCTTTCAGATCAGGGTTATGTTATCTCAAACTCATGGAATTCTAGTCTATGAACTGATTAAGCTTATTGACTCAAGTGCCAGATTGTCTAGGTTCTAATTCCATGTCTGCCATTTACAGTTTGTGTGATCTTGAACAAGTTATGGAACATCTCTGCACCTCGGTTTCACATTGGAAAACTGGAATAACAATAACGCTTAGCTCACTGAGTTGTAAGGATTAAAATAGTTTTTAAGTAAGAGTCGAGGACCTGAAAGGATCTGTGGTATGGAGAGTCTGCCATCATCACTAAGTTTTTAGCTCCCCCAGACTGGGCTCGTTCTTCTGCTTGCCTGTTCATGATATCTGGAGATTACTCTCCTCTTTCTCTAGCAAAGCTATTTATTAAACATGTAACATTTTATATAGAATTGCTGGGTGTTTGCAGTTGAAGGGTTTCACATTAGCCAAGCTTGGCATCTTGCTGAATGTAGAATCCATTCAGGATATTTCTTATATCTACATTTGGACAGAACTTCTACCACAGGTAAAAGTTTATGTTAGTTTAACTTATTTTTTTTTACTGTGTGGACCTTTTACTATAGTCCCACACAATTAAAGAAAATAAGTTAAACTAAAGTAATTGAGGCAATTAAACTTACTGGGTGTAACTGTAACTTACCATAGCTTACAGGGCATAACTGTAACTTACTTACCATAGCTTACAGGGCGCGACTGTAACTTACTTACCTTGACCTATTGGCGTAACCTACTTACTGGAAGTAACCTACTTACTGGGTGTAACCTACTTACTGGGCTTAACTTACTTACTGGGCATAACTTAGTGGGTGTAACTTGCTTACTGTAACTTAAGTACGTTGATCTGGTGTAAACAACTTTGGCTTCAGAAAAGTATATAATGAAACGTATTGCAAAAATAAAATTGCTGCTTGGACATAGCCTAAGCCAGCTTTCCAGACTCTGCTTTCCTTTATTCTTTCACTTCCGCGCACCCTCTCCCTCAGGTTGAACGAGACATCTATGCTGGCAGTCTTGGGGACTCCTGCAGGTCGGTAGTCCCCCTGCAGATGTGCCGGACCCCAACAGTCTGGGTAATTTTTTGTATTTTTAGCAGACACAAGGTTTCACTGTGTTAGCCAGGATAGTCTCTATATCCTGACCTCCTGATCCACCCACATCAGCCTCCCAAAGTGCTGGGTGTCTGTGAAAAAGTGACCAATAGCCTAGGAATCTTATCATAAGGATAATTTTCCTTATTTTTAATTAAAAATTCAAGTTTTTCTGCCAAACAGCCTTAGGCATTTGAGCATATATTCGAATGTC